ATGGTTTAGATTCTTTTCTTATCTGTATTAACAGAAAATCATTGGCATCTAGTAAATTACTAGACAAGAGGCTGTTCTTCCTCCTCACACTCTGAATTAATTTTTATGCTTTTGCTGTGTAATTTCCTTACCAATTTAAACATCCTTCCTCCATCTAAATCTGAGTGCTCAGCCCTGAACAAAACCAAACAAATGTCCAGGTTTCTGTGCGCCACTTTTAGAAGGAATATCTTGGGTTTCACTCGGTCTGAAAAGTCTGAATTAAAATTGGTCTGCTTAGTTTTTAAAAAAACTTGTGTGATTCGTTTAACTACTGGGTTGATTGCAGAAGACAGCTGGATTTGAGGATGTAGGTACAGTCAGATAGCTTGGAAGATCCCCGGATGGAGATCGCCTGTGACGTTCTGTGATGCCCACCTCTGATACAAGGGGGGTGGGTCTCCTCCCTTTCCCTCTGAATCTCTGATCTTGCAGGGATTTGGGGATTTTGATAATTAACTAGAACAGAATAACTAGCGTCCCAGAGGTCTCGGTGGGACTGAGGCACGCCATATTTGCTCCAAGTCAACCAATATTGCCATATGCTCACTATGGATAAGGCACGTTCTAGGTTCTGTAGAAAAGGGAATCCAAAGATGACATAGACACATTTCAGGACTTCAGGTGGGGAAGGCAAACACTTACCTGAATAACTAGTGTCACCATTTACTTATCAGTTGACCTTGGGCAACAGAACTAATTCTCTGAGGTTCAGTTTCTTCTATGTACAATGGAGGCAACAACTTTGTATCTGTTCAGGGCACAAATTGGTCTGCGGTGGAGATATTCCTAACTGAACATGGTGCGAAGAAGGGGGCCTTTCCTTCCCACTAAAGACCATGTTAAACGGCCCTAGTGCCAGGAGCACAGAGACCACATGTGGCTGGGACCATCAGCAGACCGGCAGTATTGGCAAGAAACTCTTTTGTGAACTTGCATCAGAACCCAGTAGGTAGGTGTTCAGATGTCTCACAGTCGTAGTCATCTGATAACACCAGGGTGAAGCCTCCCAGAAGATTTATGAAGATCAGCTGGTTCATCGTGAAACCAAGGGCTGCTAAGGCCCCACGTGTTGCTTGGGGATAACTTGTTTCCGGACTGTGATATTTCTACTACTACCCCCATTCCACAAATATTATTGGTTAGGATAAATAAACGTTTTTTTTAAGTGACTTGCTTTTAAAGAAAAATATTAATAGAAGAACGACTGGTGGTCTACAGCATGGCAAATTTTTTAATGGCATATTTGGTGGTGACCCCTGGGACTATCAATGAGGGGCCTTCTCAGGAGGGAATGTAACTGGGAACTTCATACTTCCAATCCCACCTACAGCTCTCATTTCTCCTCTCTTGGAACCTTCCAGATGCCTGAAATCACTCCTCCTCTTTGTTCCCAAAGCCCTTGTGTAGGTGTCCAAAATGGTCCTTATTCCATTTCATCTCGGTAGTTTGTCTTCTAGTTTGCTTTCCTTGCCAGTGGGGAGTTCTCCAGGGAAATCGCCGTTGTATTCCCTGCAGTGCTTGGCCCGTGAAGGGAAACTCTGAAGAAGGAAAGAATAAACAGGAGAATGAGAGCACTGTCTCCAGCTGTTTCCTGCTGATTCGAAAGCTGTGTGTTCAGGAAAGGGTTGAAATCTCCAGATCCAGTGCTTATTCAGAAGGCCAGTTTGATTATTCAGGCAAAAGCAATCTATATTTTAGGGGACGCCTGGGTGGCTCAGTGGGTTAAGCCTCTGCCTTTGGCTCAGGTCATGATCCCAGGGTCCTGGGATAGAGCCCCGCATCAGGCTCTCGGCTCAGCAGGGAGCCTGCTTCCCCCTCTCTCTCTGCATACCTCTCTGCCTGCTTGTGATCTCTGTCTATCAAATAAATAAATAAAATCCTTTAAAAAAAAACAATCTGTATTTTAGGACAAAGATAAGTTTGTGACTCTTCTGAATAGTTGATTTTTATTTAAAAGAACTCTGACTGATCAGCTTTATCCTCGCAATGCAGGTGCCAACAGAAGAGTAAGATTCCCTGGTTCTTTTTTGCATTTTTGGTTCAGCGGATCCCGAGTAGATCTGGAAGTCAGTGTTTGACATATTCCCATCCCTCTCAAACTCACCCCCTTTTTCATTTGGATTTGCATTCTTGCTTTCAGCCAGCAAGATGCTCTAACTTACCTATTGATATTTAATAGCCTGTTCTTTCTTGAATCAAACCCATTTCTCTAGAGGACTGCTGTTGTTAATGCAGTTAATTGAAAGGAATGAAGCTTTAATGGCAGAATTATAGGAAGCTATAATGGTGCAATGGAAAACCCCCTTAAGTCTTAATCACTTAGCCAACTGCCTGCTTTGCTTTCTTACAATACAATTTAAGTTCACTCTGGCAGCCTAACAAGACAATTGCAGCCAAGTTCTGCTGGCTAGCCTGAGCTAGCCAGAAATTAAGTGCATAGACTCTGAGTCAGACTGCTAGGTTCAAATCCCACGTCTTCTACTTCTTCATTGTGTGACCTTAGGCAATTTCTAAAACCTCTTCTAACCTGGTGACTTTATCTGTGAAACAGGGCTCTGTTCTCTACCTCATCCGGATGTTGTGTTCCATGAAATAATCCATGTAAAGCACTCAGCACAGGGCCTGGCCCACAGTTGGATCCAGTTAATCTAGCCGTTATCATTCTGTTCTCCCATTGCAATGTCCTAGTTTCCTCACAGAGGCACAGATAATTGAAATACAACCATTTATTTTGTAGGCAGGTTGTATCACCATGTAGCTGAGAAAGTAGATAGGTTTTCACTTGCTGAATGACCATGCAGAACGCACTTACTCTCCCTGAGTCTGTTTCAGATCTGTAAAATCAGGCGGACAGGCCAGATTTTCCAGAGTTGCAAACTCAAAATTTGTAGAGGTCAATTCGGTAAAATTAGGCAATCACTGGGGACTTGGGCTGGGAGAGAGATCATAGGGTGGTGGGGAGTTAGGGCTAACTGTAGACCTTTACTACTCAAAAGTGTGGTCCACTGACCCGCAGGATTGACAGAACTTTGGTGTTTGTTAGAAACAGCAGAATCTCAGGACCCACCTAGTGGAACAGAATCTGCATTTTAACAAGATCCCTAGGTAATCTATATGCACATAAAGTTTGAGAAGGCTGCCATGAGGCACACACCATCTAAAAGGCATTCAGCTTTAGTTTTGTTTTGCTTTTATGTTAGCCACAGAAACTTCGGGCTACAACAGGCCTTAGGCTCCCAGTTAAGTAGCAAGTGACCATTGTAGTTGGGGAGCTCTGATACGCTGCCAGCTCTAGGATTCTCTCTGAGAAATACCCTATCATTCTAAGTTAGGGCTCTGGGTGTATATTATAGCCAAGACGAAGCCTGAGTTGCTTAGGACAGTAATTCCTGGAGTGGAAGATTCCTAAAAAGTCATCTGCAGGCAAACTGTGATTGTCCCAGCTCTGCAGACAGGGAGACCCACTGACCTAAATCCACACACCAGGAAGTGGTGGTGGCGGCGGTGGTGAGTATATGGCATCAGGAACAAGGCAATTCTGTGCTGTTAAAATCTGCGCCCATTCTGGTTTCCAAGGCTTCGAAAGTATTAGTTTCTGCACATTCTCCCATGTGTAGTAATTGTTCTCCGCTTCTCCCGGCACCTCCCTGCCACTTCCTGGCAGCCCTGGGGGACAGAAGGTTTCCTCCTTTTTAGCAGAGAGGGCCCAGAGCCGCTTCGGAGCGGATATCCGGCCCGCAGGATGCAGACGAGGCAAAGGCCTCATTGTTCCTTGGGGCCAGCCGCCCCTCCCCCACCTCCCGTAGGCCTCGCAGACCTCGGGGGACCGAGGGCCTATTTCCCAGGAGTGGGACCTTCAAAGAAAGCAAGGAAGAGAGGCAGAATAGTTCTGAAATCTCATGTTCTGAGCATAGCGCGGAGAGCCGCTCAGAGCCCCAAGATAAATAAACCCGTCATTTGAAAGCGTCTTTCCAACAAGGGCTCCGCGTGGTTACTCATTACCGCTCTCCACTGCCGACCCGGGCGATTCCTGTACCTTCTTCTAACCCGTAATATTTGACTGTAATGAGGGCCGTGAATTCACGGGCCCCGCTTGCCGGAAGGCACTTTATTAGCTGAACGAGCCGCTTCCCACGCCCAGATCCCCCGAGTGCCCGCCAGGCTCGCGGGGGCGGTCCCGAGCCCGGGGGGCGCGGTCCGCGTGGACCCGCCGCCGCGCAGCCGCCCCCGTGGCCACCAGGGGGCGCTCGGACCGCGCGGCCACCAGCGCCGGGTGGCCGCCGACTCGCAGACCCAATCGCGCCCTCGGAGGAAACAAAGTACACCTTTGTCAGCGTCCCGGCGCGTGTGCGTGTGAGACGGCGCACACGGGCCGGCCTCAGCGTGCGCAGCCCCCCGGGCTGACCTTCCTCCCACTCGAGCACGCCCCGAGGGGCGGCCAGGACCCGCCCCGGCTCCTGCCGGAACGCGGCGCTTCGCCCGCCACCGCCGTGGCCTGTGGACTTCGCTTTCCCAGCTCTCAGCAAGGCGGGAAACGGGCCAGAGGGAGCCTGGCCCCGGGATTGGGGGCTACGGCTCGGCCGGGCCGCCTTTGATTCGCCCGCTGCCCCTCGCAGCCCGGCGCCCCTAGCCTCCCCGGGCCACGTGCGCCTTCAGTCCGGGTGCGAGTCCCCGGGCAGGTTTCCGACTCAGGAAGCCCGCGCGCCACTCCAGCTCGGGCGGCGCGCCCGCAAGACTACAAGTCCCAGCAGGTCCCGCGCCAGGAGCGCCGAGGCAGGAGGCGCGGCCCGCCTCGCGCCTGCGCAGTGCGACCACCCGAGCCTGCTAGTACCACACCCCCGGGAGGGACGGAGGGGAGGCAGAAGCATCCGAAGCATTAAAGCATCGGAGGGAGCCGTAGGGGTGGAGAATGGAGTGACAGAGAAACGCGGAGGGTGGGGGGTGGGGGGGAGACTGTTGAGGGAGGGGGGAGGGGGGACACAGAGGGAGGAAGAAGCGGCGGCGGCGGCTCCTCTTTGCAGAGGGGGAAAACTCCGAGGGATAAGAGCAGGAATAATGCGGTAGGCAAGGCGGGCTGCTCGCTCCCGGCTCCCGGCTCCGGCAGCAGCGGCGGCAGCCCGAGCAGCGGCAGCAGCAGCGGCAGCACCCCCAGCAGCTGACAGCCCCGCCGGCAGGCTCCCTCGCTGACCGCCGACTGTCAATGGAGCTGGAAAACATCGTGGCCAACACGGTCTTGCTGAAAGCCAGGGAAGGTAAGAGGCAGGGCTGGTGCGTGCCTGGCGTATTCGCCGCGGGCCAGGGTGCGGGTGTCGGGCGGCGTGTAGGCTGGGGCTGTGCGTGTGCAGGATGCCCGCAGTGAGTTGGTCGCGAGCAGGACACCTCGGAGGGCTGCTCTGCAAACGCTTCAGGGGTTCTGCCCTTGGGGTCCGAGAATATGGACTCGGGTAGAGAAGCAGAAAGGTCGAGGTTGCAGGGATTAAGATGCTAAAATCTCCCTTAGTTTCCGGCTCTAACCTTACAGACCCTGCCATCCCAGCAGCTGTTGAAAGGTCAGTTGGAAAAGCATTCATTCAGGAAGAGATGGGCAAACATGCAAACGAAATAGCTTTTCGAGTCGGCCCGGGATGGTTCTGTGAGTGTGAATCGGTGTGTGTGTTGGGGCGGGTGTGTGTGTGGGGGGTGGAATTAGCAGAAGCCAAGTCTTTGCTTGCGCAGGCTAAGTTGATAGAGGCTATTGCTGGAAACCATCCGCTGGGAATGTTTCTTAGGGAAATCCCGTCGTGTGGAAGGAAGCCTTTTAAAGGCAAAGTAAGATGTTAAGGAATTAGCCTGTTCATAGAATTACGGGAGATGTGGCTGTACAAATCACCTAGAAAATAATTCAGAATTTCAGAGTTGGGTTTTTCCCCCCTTTGGTGATGGGAGGAAGAGATAACTGAACTGTCTGATCTCGGTTCAGTTAAGAAAAGAAAGGTAAGTGTGCTGGGCTTAGATGCGTTTTGGGTGCTAATTATTAGATTTCCTGCGTTTAGCTGGGAGGAAATATCGTCAAAACGAAGTGGGTAAGAGCCTAAGTCAAAGCTGTAAACACACATTTTGACTCTTCCTTGAGATGGAAAAAAAGAGCGAGAGAAAGAAAAGTGGCCCAGAAACTTAGATGCTTCCTAAAATGATTGCGTGTAAACATACATATTTAGGAACACCTGGAATTTATGTAACATCTCTTTTGCCAAGATTTGAGCTCTGGCGTGCAGCCGTTTTACAGAAAGGGGAAGTGGTTTTTCCCTTTCATGGGAGGAGGCTTTCTTTGACACCCAAGGTAGAAGGCAGCCTAAGTAAGGTCTTGACTTCAGAGGGCTACTCAGGGAGCAGTCCATGAAAATGCCTTACCTACTTAATATTTTCATTCACCCACTTTGATGAATGAAGGAAGACTTTCTGGCTAGCAATAAAACGATTCATGTTTACCCAGGCAGTTCTATCCCCTTGTGGGTCTGTACACGCTGTGCCGGTGGGTGATGCACGGCTCAGTAACTCAAACCAGCGTTCACGTCGTGATTTTGTCTCCACTTGTCGCTCTAAAGCCACCTGGAAGGTTTGCTTTGAAAACCCCAGCAGAGTTTAAAATATGCTGGTCCGTCCCCCCTCCCTTGCTCAGCTTTGATGTGAACAGATTTGTAGGAGTGGCTGTTACTTGAGGACTTCAGGTTTCTAAGGCCTAAGCTTCTTTTTTTCTACCGAACCTGCCGTTTTAGCTAACTGGATCAAGGTAGGGACGAGTGGGCTCTTCCCTGGACAGGGCTGTGCGTCCGGGAGGGAAAGAAGCGGAGAAAACAGCCCCCAGCTCTCGCCGCCGCTGCAACCGCCACCTAGTGGTGGGACATGGTTGTACATCTTGGGGCTTGGGGGCTGGGAAAGTTTTCCACCCTCCCTCCATTCTGAAATTATTTCTTGGGAAATCACTGGATATGATGGTGCTGGAGGCTTTGCAAGTTTCACTGGTTACTCCTCTAAGGAGGAATCCTGTTCCTTAGATCTATGCTCTATATGTTCGTTCTCCTGGGTTTTTTCTTCCCTCAGCCTTTGGTTGCTTCTTTTATTTTTTTATTTTTAAATTTTTATTTATTTATTTGACAGAGAGAGATCACAAGTAGGCAGAGAGGCAGGCAGAGAGAGAGGAGGAAGCAGGCTCCCTGCTGAGCAGAGAACCTGATGCGGGGTTTGATCCCAGGACCCTGAGATCATGACCTAAGGCGAAGGCAGAGGCTTTAACCCACTGAGCCACCCAGGTGCCCCTGGTTGCTTCTTTTAAAATGTTTTGCTTGGAGTTGGCAAAGTGTTGTCAATTTTCTCTCCCAAATTGGTCTCTCTAGTTCTTTCTCCCTCCCTTCCTTCCTTTCTTTCTTTCTTTTTTTTTTTTTTTTTTTTTTCACTGCCTGATATTTTTGTTTGGCAGGCTAACAAATTGTTTTTTTCAGAACTTTAGGGAAGAGAACTGCAGGCTGGAAGCGTCTATGGAATGACTGAATTACAGTGATCAAAAGTGCTGGAGAATGTGCCTTTCACTTCCTTTGCCTTTGAAAGTCTTTTCAGTTTCTGTTGGAGAGTTTGGGGATCATCTCATGGTGAGAAAATAGCTTCATGCCTTTGAAATGGAGAGGGCCTTGTCTGTAAGGAAAGGGAGAGACATGAATGAGAAAAATTAATCACTGACATTGACACTTCATTTTCTGAATTTGCATTTCTCTCCATCTTCCTTTCTTACATTTAAAGAGAGTCCCCGATTTTATGTGCTTCCACTTTTTTCTTTTGGGTCTTTATTAAATATTTGAGCACCTATATTCTAGTTAGTATGGAAGATTTTAGAAATAAAATCAATTTATTTTTCTCTTTTCAGTTATCATATTCTTGAAGTAATTCTTTTAAATTAAGGAACACCCCCCCCAAATCCCATTATCCAGATATTTGGAAATGAAAATTTCAGTCAGTTTAGTGAAACATCTAATGTAAAATTTATAGTATACTTAATAATCTGAGTTGTTTAGAATGTTTAAAAGCCCTTCTTACATGAAGGCTCTTACGAAAGGTCACAGATGAGAAATATGATGGGCATATGTGAAATTTAATTTACTTCACTTAACAAAATACACTGTAAACAATTTAAAATGTGGCTTTCAAGTAAAAGTCACATTTGTCCCGAACAATAGAGAAACAGGCCTTGAAGAAAGACAGACGCACTTTGCAAATGCTGTAAAGGAAATTGTAGTTGTCCATGTTGGTGGGTAATTCTGGGTCCTATCTCTCATTATTGTTATGCATTCTTAAAGGCAAATGGCTTCTTAGTTCACCGTAAATTCAGATTCTTACCATAATATGTATAAAGGGAAAACGTGAATATATCAATAAAATAGGAAATCTGTAAGTGGTTTAGAGTAAAATGAGTCATTGTAAGTAATTCTAAAACATAGCAAACAAATCACACCTTTGTGAAAGGTTTTTTTCTTTTTTTTTAAAGATTTTATTTATATATTTGTCAGAGATCACAAGTAGGCAGAGAGGCAGGCAGAGAGAGAGGAGGAAGCAGGCTCCCTGCTGAGCAGAGAAACCCATGCGGGGCTTAATCCCAGGACTCCAAGATCATGACCCGAGCCTAAGGCAGAGGCTTTAACCCATTGAGCCACCCAGGCGCCCCTATGAAAGTTGTTTTGAAATAAGAAAAGATAGATCTGGATAATCTAAGTTCAGAATATTAAACCTCCCAAATGTACCTTGTGGGCTGTTTGTCCTGGTCTTCTAAGTCTCATGACTTGATCACTCTTAGAAATTTTAGATTACTTTTCTAAAAAGTGGTTAAGGAAGAAAAAAAGGAATATGAGACTGAATTCATGCCAATATATGGAAATGAGCTTAGTGATTAAGCATTTAATGTAAAGAGACCCAGACTATCTATTTACATTTTAGAATCTCAGAAAACTGGCAAGCAACCTGGTGTCGAAATAAGAGGGAGAAAGAGTATTTGCAGAGTGTCTTTTGTGTGTTTCTTTCAGGTTTATTGTTGCAGTAAAGGTTTTTGTGTTTTTCTCATATCCTAGATGTCTTGCCTCACTCTTGAGTGAACGGTGGTTAAGAAGCAGTTTTGCAAGGGCTCCCCTTTCTTCACAGGCCAGCCGTAGCCATATCTGATCAATAACGATGACAGAGGGAGTACTAATCACATTTTCCTGAGCATGATCCTAGCAGGCACTGAGCCCAGGAACCCAGAAGTCAGAAATGTAATGACTTTGCCATTGGTCCCAATTTCCCAGAAGCAGAATGTATAGGAACTTTTCTCTCAGAGAACTCTGGGGCTTGTTGGCCTGGATCTTCCCAATGATCAAGATTAGGGGCCTGGTGAAGCTCTTGCCCGCAGACGCTAGGGATGGTGGGAGGGGGGTGGGAACCTTCATCCAGCTGGTGAAGGGCAGCTCTGCCAGGACCGACTCACTATTCCACCACACGGCTGAAAGCCTGTGCTCCCTTCCCTCTTTCCCTCGTACCCCTGGTTCATGATGATGAAACCGACATGTCAGTGTATTTCATTATGAGAACACTGGAATGTCTCTGAAACTTACAGACTCCTTCCTCACTGTCACCGGCAGGCAGGCATACTTGGTCCTCCCTGGGGCTTTTCCCTTCAATCTTACTGAGCTCAGAGCTGCGGGGTTCACCCCTGGCAGGAAACTGCCTGCCCTATTAAGTACAATGCCTTTAAATGAAAACTGCCTTTTATTTTTTCCAAGTGTCTTTTCAGTACTGATGACTTTGAGGTAGAGAAACCAAAAGCAGTGTTTTCAGAATGGCTTGCTCTCTTTCAGAAAGATTTCAAGTGATGATTTTAATTAATCCAGCGGCCTGTTTTAAAAATCATCAGATCAATGCCCACAAGACTCTTCTCTTTCAGTAGCTTAGCTGCTGCTTGTCAGATTCTAAACTCCAAAGTGCCCAAACTCTTCCAGTGCCCAAACTAATCCTTGTTTAAATGATGTCTTCGGAAGCTGTAACTCTTGTCGTGGCTTGGTAAATGATAGCCTTTGGGTCTGGGCTGAAGACTTCAGTAATGTCTAAGAGGATTCAGGGAAGAGCCCAATATGCATCCAAATCTACCTTTACCAAGGGCTATTCAGCCCATACCTGGGAACTTCCAGTGTTCTTGGGAAACCATCCAGGACTGTGGGCAATATTTGTTTTTATTTTATTTTATTTTTAAAAATTT